GAGAGGAAACTATAATTATTCCCTATAATTGTGATACACATTTCTATGAAGTAAGTTACGCAATGCTTAACCTATAAAAATCTTTCCGTACAAATATCACAAATATATTTCAATATTAATTCTAACGTATTATCTATTTCAATTTTATCGTACACCAATTTAAGAAGGCTTAGTAAATTTATAACCATTACAATTAAAACAGGACTTTTAAACAGATATTCGCATTTGAATGATATGTACCTTTGATATATATATATATATATATATATATATATATGAATTTCTACTAATCCTTTCAGTAATAAAAGGATATGTCGCTTTTAGATGAAATATAGAGAGAATTTTGGAATTATTGAAATCAGTCTGTACACAATGTGTCCAGCAGCCGCGAGTCAGTTTTTAGAAGCATATTATTGATCTTTTTGCTCGTATGTCATAACGATATCAAAAGGCCTCGGTTTAAAATGGTAAGTAAATAATTCGTGTTACTACTTGTTATTTATTTGTTAGATTAATTTTAAAGAAATAATTTTCGTCGAAGACCATAACAGTATTACATGCTTATCACAACACATTTATCAAGACAGGCCAATGCATATCACTACAATGGATTGTGTATTTCCTGCTACCAGGTTACATTTAGATAGTTACCGCCAAAGATTCCCTAGAAATGACATATATGCTGAAAAAACCCTCAAATGACGAAAAATAGAGCTTTATCGGTAAAATCGTCATGGTATTATTAAGCGGAAATACCAAAGGATGTTACAGTATTGTTATGGTCCAGGTTAGGACCAAGGAAGAACAAGACGAACACAAGAGTAGAAATAACGAAGGTATATTAAACGAAATAATAATACAAGATGTGGAAGGTGTTAGTATGACTGTCAGTCTGGTTTGGAGTGAAATACTATCGGCTCGACTCCATTCGATATTTACTTGGCCCCCACGAGGTAAAGATGTGGCACAAGGCCAAGTTTAATGTGGGTTTCCCGAGCCCGTAGGCTCGGCCAAAAAAAAAAAGCCCGTAGAACCCGTATAAACGGGATCGGGTTGGTCAACCTCCCCGAACGAGACTCTGCCCTTCGGCGGAGCCTCGTCCTGGTCCTCTCTGCTCAGAGGCAGAGTTCGGCCGTCAAGCCGAGAAGCTCGACTTGATTTGATATCTAGCCACCCCCCACGAGGGTAGCATGTGGCACAAGGCCGAGTCTAACGTGGGTTTCCCGAGCCCGTAGGCTCGGCCAAAAAATTCCCGTAGAACCCGTATAAACGGGGTCGAGTTTGTCAACCTCCCCGAACGAGACTCTGCCCTTCCGCGGATCCTCGTCCGGGTCCCTCTCGAGAAGATCGGCTTGATTCGTCCCTATATCTTGAGAGCCATAATATACATAGTGTTAGGAAGAGTTCATTCTGTAGTTATGTCATCAAATTATATTTTTATTCTTTTTAGAACCTTCGAGGTTCTGCTTAGAAAATTTTTCTTGCGTCAACTGGTGACTTTAAATTACTATGGAAAATGTTAACGTCTTTTTTCTAGTTAAAATGACATCGATTTGGAAATTCTTGCAAAAATCAAATAATTTTCGGTTTGTAATGAAACTTTCAAGACCTATTCACAAACGAATGAAAATATTTGAGCAACGTTTCTAGATTTTTAGAAATGATTCACATTTTTAGAAAATCTTGGTGAAATACACTTTTTATATATCTGTAACACCAACATTTAACTTTATGATTTTTCGGGAAATTCATTTTAATAGAGATTAAATTTTATATTATAAGCACAGGTCCCTGAACAATTTAAATCACCAATTTCTTTTTCAAACAGGACCTGCGAGCAGAAAATCTAATCTGAATAATAAAACAAAAGATGTAATAAGACTAAGACGTTAGTTAAGTATAAAAGCTTTTGTTTTTATTAATAAGATATATTATGGACACTATTTTCTTGAGAAAAGTATTTTTTCAATAAATAATGAATTTTCCACGAATTGTTTTGATGCGTTTTTTAATTTAATTATAATGATTTATAAAGTTTTAAATTTTTTAAAATTCTGTGTTAAATTGTAACGATCAGGTTATATTGTTATTTCGGAAAACTATATATTCTATTCATACATTTCAGTGAACTGTACTAGTTTAAACAGAATTTTTAATTATTTTGTGTTTGTAAACGTGCCGATTTTTCTAAATACGGGCGTCCATACATGCCATTATCACAAAATAAGAGCGGTAACTACAACAGTACCATAAAAGCAAAATACCTAAAATCCAATAAAATGTTAGAATACTTAGAATATTTTCTGAATTTTTTAAGATTACGGGGTAGTTAAAATTTATATAAAAAGGAATTAAAATTGTATTCAAGTAATTATTACAGTTACATGCCCTTTACTTAAAAATGCCAAAATTCAGGTTATAAATAAATGTGGCAACACCCTCATGAAAAACACACCTCTGTGCTAAAATGCTTTTCTGCGATATTTTAAACAAAAAGCAAGTAATATTTGTTTCAAATCAGTTTAATTAACTAATCCTCTTTAAATTAACTTTCAGGAAATTTTTTGTTTTTTTTTTTAAAGATTTTTTTAAAATAAAATGCTCGATTCGTAATAGATAAAAATAGATAAAAAATAAAATTAACAAAAACCGGTCATTTTAAGCAATATATTTTGTAAAATTGAATGATTGGTCGAGGAATATATGGTCATTATCAAAATGTTAATGTCCCAAAATGTTATTTTAAATTCAAAAGAATCTCCATTCAGTTTCCACGACGACAGAATATTTGTTGTCCAGAATTTATGTAAATCATAAAATCTGCTTTATATGAGAGAATCAAAAATATAATTAAATTATGCGCTGATGTAAAAAAAAAATAAAAATTTTATAGAATGTTAAAATTAGTTTGTTTTTTTTTAATTTTTGAGGGAAGATAGGTCAAAGAAAAATGACCTTCACTGGAGATGTATAGACGAAGATACAAGAAAAAAAAGCTATTCAAGCGAAACATCCTAAGCTGAAGCGTATTTCGTTGCTAGAGAGTCTATCACTTGACTCAGTATTTTTATAATGGGGTAAAAGTGGCGTTCCTCATTAGGTTGTCTGGCGAGAAATCCAACTCGGAAACATTTCGAACCTCACCGCACCGCGAAAATAAGAGCCCTAGTCTATTTAAACTTTTTCTAGACTATTTCCTGCACATTTTCAAACACAGATGTTTTTGATATGGGAACTGTTCACTGAAACATTCCATACTGCATCCCTAACGAGTCGATCAATAGAAAAAAAGCGATATCCTCCTTATACCAGTGTACTGATAATGAGGTGGGCTATGCCGAAGACATATTGATATAAGAATGATCTTGATTGGAAAATCAACATCCTCTACCAAGTTTTCCAAAAAATAGGACTCAAGATAAACTTTTTCAAAAAAAGAATCTATGATCTGGAATTGGAATGCAATTATTAATGGTACCTACACTGAATCCATCATCAAATTCAGAATGTCGGATTAGTAAATATCAAACCCTTTAAATACCTAATAAATCGTTATAAACGAGAAAATATTTCTTAACTGTTATCCAATATCATTCCTCCTGTATGACAATGAAGCTGGATAATCTTCTCACAGATAAAGAAGAGACTTGGAGCATCAGATATGACGTTCTACAGAAGGGTACTGAGAATATAATGCACCGATCATGTGGGCAACGACGAAGTTTAAGAGAAAATGGAAACAAAAGTACATTTATACTTAACAGCAAGAAGAGATAGGTGAAATTTCTAGCGCATATAATGAGGCAAGAAAACTTGGAAAATTTGGTGAGATTAGAAAATTTGCGTTTTAACAAACTCCATTCAAAAGGAAAACTTCATTGTATTATGACAGCTGTCACATCAGCGCGCATTACAAAATAATTGTCAAGAGTGGTAGATTTGTGTTATTGATTCACACAGTGATGATTGAAGAAAATAAGTAACCTTTTTAATATACAAGATGTCCCAGAAGTCACTTAGGGATTTTAAAAAAATCTCGTAATATCACAATTTCTTTTACATTATTCAAAAATAGCTTTATAAAGAATGAGAATTCAAACACCGGAAATATCTTCTGATTTAATTAGTTCTCAGACGTGAATATCCTCCATTTTGGACTTCACAGAGACACGTTTTTTGGATAAAATTCTCCATGGCATCGTTTAATAACTCTATCTGCAGCCCTCGAATTTCTGCATAGATGTTATCCTTGTTACTGATTTCACTAAGTTTTGTAGATGTATAAATACTCTTTATGGTATCGCCAAAAGGAAATAATCTAGAGTATTCATAGCAATAGAATTTCAAAATTTTAAGAAATTAATCAGTTAGAAAAGCTGCAAAAGACAGGGAAGTTGTGGAGAGCCATTATCACCTATGTCCTGAGGGGACACGACATATAAAGAAGTATAAACGGTGACCAAAAATTTGCCTCAGATGTTCCATCGTTGTCCAGACTGTGTGTGTTATGTCTGCATCTTGTTGAAAGATTTGTTCTGAACTGCTTGAAAGAAAAAAATCTTGATCATGAATTCCCAGACATTGTATTGCCATTTTCATCTTAAAAAAAAATGAAAACTCAAAGATTTTTTTTCTTTGTTGAGTTGTAACATTTTCAAATACCCACTGGAGATTTGAGACGCCTATGCGTTTTAATTTTAAGAAATCTGAATAAGTGGCTATTATATGTGAAAAAAAGGGTTTGTGTAAATTATGGAGAAAATTATAGGCATGAAAAGTGGTCTGCGATATTTCACGCTGGATATTTTTCTATGCTCCACGGTCGGATAAGCTAACTGTATATAATAACGAACAAATTAGGACATTACTTCATGCAACATAGAATATTACCAACATAAACAATCAAAAAAAAGCATGAAAACTGAACAGCACCATTTTTATTATGGTAGTCACTATGACGTATGTTTTCGGATTCAGTTAAAGTCTTACGTTCGAATCATATTGAAACACCGGTTCTCGTATGATCATCGAAGTTAAGCAACGTCGATACTGGCCAGTACCTAGATGGGTGATTGTTTGGGAATACCAGGTGCTGTAAGTCTGGATGTGCGGCTGGTGCAATAGATAACAACTAATTCCAATTCCAGTCGGGTTCGTTATATTCACTTACACGCAAATAACTTTGTGAAAAATACGAATCCACTTCTTCTCTTCCCATATATGGTTTAATTAGTAAAACTTTGTATCAGTAAAAAAAGATATATATATATATATATCTTCCCTGAAAACTACAATCTTTCAACATTTAAAATGCAAGGTCAATCGCCATCTTCTGTTTTCTTGAATCCTGTTCATCTTCTTCCTTTCCTCACTCCCCCTACACCTTGTTTTTTTTTTCTCACTTTTCTCTCTGTAAGCACCTGCGTACTAGTTGCATTCCCACCTTGCCTTAGGTGAATTGCTTAAAAACAAATAAATGTGAGTGCCAAATTCTCCAAGCTGTCCTTCCTCATTTTTTCCAAGAAAATTCATCTCTCGTCCTGATTCTAATTGCAAATGTCTTTTTGTTCCGATTTTTAAGCTTCTTTATTGCTCACATGCAGCGTCCATGGTATTCGCAACATCCTTCTCTAAAACCACTTCTTTGTTACGTAAAGTATTGTCTCCATCTGTAAGAAAATTGTCCCTCCTTCCTTGTCATATTACATAGCAGTTCAACACTTTTCTCTGGATATTTTCTTAATATCTTTAGCTTTAGGATGCATTTGTCTTTAGTATAATGCATCTTCCAATTTCTGTATGAATTTTTTCGTTTCTTGCTAAAACCCTTTACTACATTTGCTTGCTTTTGACATCTCCAGTTCGAATCTTGTTGGCAATCACACATTCTGTCTTCTTACAACTGATTAGTACTTCCAGTTTTTTCTTTACTAACACGTCCAGGAGTCTCTGCAGTTTACTTTCTATGTTAGCTATGAATAAGAGTATATCATCATATCTTGTTAAGATTGTGTCCGCCAATAATAAAACTTCCAAATAATTCTCTTAGGGCCGCCTCGTTGTTTAGTTTGAGTAAATCCGGTAAGAAGACGAATCCTTCCTTTCCCCTATTTCTATTTCTGGGTACTTCCTCAATTCATTTCTTATGCGTAAATAAGTAAACTGGGTTGTATACCTATCTCAAATAGGTAAATATAACGGGAAAAAGTTCTGTTTTGTTAACAAATTTTAATGGACGAAGAAAAGTGAATACTCTACAACAGGGGTGGACAACCCTCGGCCCCCGGGCCACATCCGACCCGCGAGGGATTTTTGTCCGGCCCGCCAACAATACGTGGATACTGATATCCAATTAATTTGCAGAGCAAGTGGCAGAAAAAATATTAGTTGGAGTTGGACTTGCAATGCGACGATTTTTTTTTTAAATTAAAATTTCATTCTGAATCTACTGTTGACTTCTACCAGAAATGTTTTGCCAACCGGAAGATATAAAAGTCTATTGAATAATGCGAGAATGATGGTATCATTATTTTGAAGATATATATGCTAGCAATCAATGTTTTTTCAAATATTAAATATTCAAAAAGTCGTTTTAGAACAAGTTTCAGTGATGCTGTTTTGCTCCTTTCGTCGACTAATATTTCACCTGATGATGAGAAGTTATAGAACTATAAGCAGAACCAAGTGTCTCATTAAATAATTTGCAATTTCTAATGTATTTAGTTTGTGGTAAGGTGTTGGATTACAAATGGTGATTCTCTCCCCTTTGTTAAGATGGTCACAAGGATCTCGTGACGGCCGGTGACTGACATCATGAGATAGACTGACGAAGGCAGTTATAATGTAGAACCCAGAGAAGAAGGACGTTCCTGACTCACAACAGCAGGTCTTACACGAAAAACCACATAGCCTAATCTGGTTCGTAGAGAGTAACTTCAGTTTTTCCTTAGGGAAATATTGCAAATAAGGTCCCCCTTTCTTACACACCGTTTGTTGTTGCATATGTTTTAACTTCTCTGCGTGGGACACGTGTATATGTGTATATCTAATTTTGTCTACGACGTAGAATTATAAACCTCTCCGAGAACCAAGCATGTTTATTATTCTTTTTTCATTCAGCTATTCCGTCCTGTCCGTGAACTACGATGTTGTTATATCATGGATATCACAATACCCAGAGCGAGAGAAATGTAATTGGGAAAATAAATAGATTTTTCCCTCCTTCTCATTACAAAGGAATTTATATTTTTGTTGATTGTGTTAGTTGTTATCCTGTTATTTTTTAAGTAAATTAAGGAACCCTGTCTGAATAACATAACATTAACTTCGTTGTTGCTTCTTTAAACATCCAAACTGTTAAGGGGTCCACCCCTTTTTATACTCGCCCAGTGTGTACTTGTACTGCTGCCGGTGAATACCCGGGAGTGAAAGGGTGATACAGTGAGAGAGTGAGAGTGTGAGATAACTGCTTTATGGTGAAAGTTACCTCAAGATGGTCCTTGTTGAAAAAGAAGAAAAGGACTCGGAAGATGGACTTATGAGACTTTTTCAATTATATCAGAAAATAAGGAAATACATCGATAATAATAGTGTGAAAAATTTCGAAGAAAAAAAATTGTTTCTTAAAAAACCGAAGCTCAATCCCAGTATATTATATTCTCATGTTTACACTTTTAAAATTATTTCCAAAAATTAAGTATTGTTAAATTTAACCGTTAGCCGTCTGCATTATTAATATTAAGTCCCGTTCCACTGAATTCTTTTTCAATGCCTGCCATGTTGCGTCCATGGTATTAACACAATCCTTCTTTAAATATAAAAGTCTATTGAATAATGCGAAAAAATGATGGTATCGTGTATATGTATATATGTAATTTTGTGTACGACGTAGCATTATAAACCCATCCGAGAACCAAGCATGTTTATTATTTTTTTTTCCATTTAACTATTCCATCCTGTCCGTGAACAACGGTGTTGTTATATCATGGATATAAGAACACCTTACTTAAACGTGGTCTATTTGCCGCATTGAAATTTAACAATACTTAATTTTGGGAAATAACTTTAAAAATGTAAAAATAAGAAGAGCATACACTGGGATTAACCTACAATTTTTTTCAGAGGTTTAGACCACGTTTAAGTAAGGCGTTGTCATATCCATGATATAACAACACCTTACTTAAAGGTGGTCTATTAGCCGCATTGACGTCTGAACCTCTGAAAAAAATTGTAGGTTAATCCCAGTGTATGCTCTTCTTATTTTTACATTTTTAAAGTTATTTCCCAAAATTAAGTATTGTTAAAATTTAATATTTAACACTCTGCATTATTAATACTACATCCCTTTATACTGCATTCTTTTTCAATGCATCTCATGTTGCGTCCATTGTATTCATACCATCCATCTGTGAATATAAAATCTATTGAATGATGCAAGTTTTAGTTAACGAAACGCGAACGTCATAGTAACCAAAAAATATTTCTTAAAGGTCGTGTAATTTTTATCTTTTTCCATAAATAGGTACAAAATTTGATAGGGTGAAAAAAAGGGAAAAAGTAGAAAACAGGTAAAGTGTAAAATAAAATTTTGCTACAAGACGAAAACATTTTATCCTTTCTTGTTAATTTCACTCAAAGTTGTTTTCTGTTGCCATAGAAGGATATGACAACTCAACTATGAAATCCAAACGTAGCATTGTCCAGGGATCAGTGGCAGGATAAGTTTTTTTGTACAGCAAAGGAAGTCACATACAGAGTGATAAAGGTTAAATCCATGAATGCAAAAACTTGTCATGTTGAATTTTAAAATTTGTTAAATGTATAAAATTTTATTTTATAAAAATATCAGTTGATTAATAAATATTTGATTCTATATTTCTATATTCACAGTATTGCAAGATTTTATTGGAAGTTTGATTAAGGGTGAAAATTTTGAACTTGTAAAAAAGGGAAAAAGAAGAAATCAGGTAAAGTGTAATCCAAAATTTTCCTATTGCAGGAGGTTTTGAAGGAGTTTACGAAAATTTTTTCTTCCTTTTTTTTTTTTAGCCCAGTTTCTTGTTAAGGAGACAGATTTTGTACAACAGGAAATATGCTTAATACAAGAAAAAATTCTGACTCATTTTACTACTGTGACAGACTATCACGCGGACTCTCATTAACTGCTACTTGCACTGACTACTCAATATGTAGCCCTTTAATTTATATCTCACACGCGAATGTCATAGTAAACACAAAATGCGCGCGAATATTTGACAAAAATGTTCGGTTCTTAAAATTCAATCTTGAAGCGTATACAATGCCTAATAACTTAAAAACTGCACATGCTAAAAAGTTGAAACTTCACAAACTACTAAGATGATATATCTCTTAAAGGTCGTGTAATTTTTATCTCTTTCCATAAATTATGAATTAATTAAATTTGATTTTATGCTGGGATAACTCATTAATAATATTCATTAAAAAACGTTTTTATTTTTTCCGAAACTGATTAATTAACAGAATAGGTCCGAATAATGCGATCGCTATAAATTGAATATGTTTAATTTGTTCATTTTACAAAAAATTAATTTATACAAAGTTTTACAGTTTTGTATTTTACAAGCACTGGAATTAGATTGAAAGCACTAATGGCACATATATGGAATACAAGTTAAAAATTCAATATATGTAATTATCAAGTACTAAACATTTCAAATACCTCGATGTATGGATCACGTATAATAAAATTTAGTATTGGAGAATAGGCTGTATATAGCGGTAGTTTCACCCAACACCGCCAATTGCTACAAAACCAAAACATTAACCTGAAAACTCGAGTCATGTTCTTAAATAGTTTCGTCAGATCGAGACTATAAGGATGGCCTGCATGGCAAAAACAAACATTCAGAAATATCTAATATCGCATTCTAAGATAAATGGTTTACATAGCTTTGAAAGGGTCTTAGTGAATACTATACTTCTTCGAACCTTTTGAATTGGCGCTACATAATCACAAATAATAGAAAACCATATCACTTGGAGACTACCAGCAGTAGCAATACCTAAAATGTAACTCAAATAGAACATAATGACATAATCAAGATGTTGACATTCCACA